CCCCCCCCCCCCGTCACGAGTCAGATAAGCATCACCTCATCGCAGTCCCAAACAGACCAAAGGAATGGGGGGTGACTCACTTGAGTCCAACAGATCCTTTATTGCTGCCTAGGCCAGTGTGCTTTGTTCCTGTGAGGCTGGGCTGGGTTTGTCCCAGACATGCCCTGATGAGGTGGTGTTGTGGTCAAAGACACCCACGCAATGATTTTAGTTCAAAGACTCAAGCCTGAGGCCAGTTTATTGACATATATACCAGTGCACTGGGGTGCAGTCCGAAGACTGACATCCCGAGGGCCGCTCGCAGGCGGGCTTTTATTTCGTCAAACCGCAAACGAAGTACAAACAATGCGTCATGAGTTAAGAAACTGGGGTTGGGGTCAGCCCCCCCCCAAACCGCGAGTTAAGAAATTAGGGTCGGGGTCAGTTTCCTCCCCCTCCCCCCTAGCTACCTTCCTCATTTTTCTGAGAAGTGGGTGTTTATTTGGGTAGAGGGGCGCTTGGTGGTTTTCCCCAGGGGTGGTACTTGGCACCAGTTTGGGTACATTTCTCAAGACACATGTTATTTTCCGGGGTCTTTTGGTTAAAGATTGGGGGGGAGGGGGTTCCGTGGGATGCCTAAAGAGGATCTATGATTGGCTATTTTTGCAGATAGCTGGAATCACGGAGTGGGTCACAGATCACTCAAAGGAGAAGCTGCATGAGTCAAGAACTTGCATTTAGCTAAAGTTACCTATTGCTTCACACAAGTCGTTATTATATTTCATTAGTGCTGCTGCTGGGGCTTTTTATTTTTTCCCTCCTTGCCCCTCCCCCCTCCTCTGGACATGACCCTTGACTGAGTTTGGCAGAAAACTGTGTTGTTCAGTCTTGCTCAGGCTTAGGCCTGCACCCTGGCCTGCACTGCTTTGTGCAAGGGCAGCTAGCATAACAGATCTCTGTTCGAGGGTTTATTTAGGGGCCTTCAGATTCACAGCTCTGGCTATTAAAAAGAAGGCCCCCCTGCTCTATTCCCCCACAATTTCCCTCCTCTGATGCCCTATAGGCATCACTACTATCATTAAACAAAGGGCCATAGGACAGTATTCGGATTTAGAAATGACACTAAGGTGGTCGATTTCTGGATCTGAGGGACAATATAGTGTGGGGTGGGGAACATTTGTGAAAATAAAAAGAGCTTCCGGTGGTGGTCGGGGCTGAACCGGGAGCCAGGGCAAACGGCAAAATTTACATAGACAACAAGCAACAGCCAACATTAATGTGTAACAAATTGCTAGAACAATTTAAAATAGAATGTGAAGAGCAGAAGAGGCTAGCCAACTGGGTGTAACTTGGGCGATTTCCTTAGAGGCAAAGCATGCAATATCGTGGGAGGAGCATAAGGTATGTACTTGATAAGCAGTTTGGAAGGCTTTGGCCTTTTTGTTGTATTTTATTTTTATTGCATGCATTTGGTCTTGCAGGTGAGATAAGTTGGAGAGCAGAGGGAGTAGAGAAGTGAGGTTTAGGAAGCGGTTAGGGATAGGGGAAGTTCAATTAAATGTAAAAGAAACACTTGGCTGGAGGGTTACATAAACGTGAGGATTAGCAGGCCATACAATAAAGCGGCTTCCTTGTGCAGTGGTTAAGTTAAGGTGAAAGGGGATAGGGATGTGGGGGTCCGATGGCAGGGCACATCCATGGTTCCCACTAAATAGTAATTTTCCCTCTGGATCTTTACCTATCGCTTCCCCTTCCCAACATGCCAAATTAAAAACGTTAACCACTTTTCCAGGATACAATTTGCGGAGGCAAAATAGCTGTGGGGGTTCCAAGGGCCATAATGACCACAAGGTTCCGATACCCACCCAGATATGTTGAGCAGCAAAATCATAGGGAGTGGTGATGAAACAGCTAGGTTCATGGGGTGGTTTAACTTCCCATACCTGCCGGTGGATAACCCAGTCCCATAGACAATTCGCCCAGGGTTCTGTCACAAGTAAGTGCACTGGAACCCAGGTGCCATTTACTGGTCCCGAAGCATGGAAGGAGCATGTCGAGGAGTTGCAGGCCCAATTAGATAGGGTCCAAGTATGCCTCCACTTCCATAGCTTGGCCTTTTACTGCAGTGGTAAGGGTTTCAAGCCACCACTGATTTAAAACTTTGGTTCGCATATTTGCCAAAAGGTTGTTAAAGAAATCTTGCATTTGGCTGCATGCTAAATCCCACCCAGTGTCTTTTCCTGTTAAAACAAGGGTGTTTATTAACCTTGTTAACAGGGTTTGGGTGGTTGTTCCCAACCCTGATAAGGTATGGAGAGTTTTTATATCTGATTAGGTGTTAGTGAGTCCTGCCTTAGTAATAAGGCCCGATGCCCTTTTTAAATTTCCCAGGCGTTCTTCCTGGTCCTGGGCTTTGTCTATGTTCCAAATAGCAGCCGCTACAGTAAGACCATGTAAGACTCCTTTCACCAAGCCCCTTTTTCCCCGATGGAAACTTTCCCACTGCACAAGCTGGGCCAGCCGAATGGCTGCTCCCTGGGAGCAGTTGGGGTACGGAGTAATAGTACTAAATAGAAAATAATAGTTCCTACAGTAGCATTTAGCACAATTCACTGTTGGAAGCGATAATTCCGTCGGTAGAGTGTGCTATACCACATTTGCTGGTCTGAAACTTGAATTTCTCTGACACTACGGCCAGACAGATTTGTATGGGAATTGGAGAAGATATGAGGGGGAGTAGCTGGGGAGCGGGGACTATAATAATGGGCAACCATGTTGAGCCGGGATACACCGCAATACGACACAGGCCAAACCGGAGGTCACTGATTGGCTAAAATTTAGACTTTTTCCCTTCCCACCCCAAGTTCGTCAAGGAGGAGAGGCTGAGGAATATTAAGTCTTATCTTCCAGTAGTTTTGGCTAGCTTCCGCAAGCTATTTTTCAAGATTTCGTAGTCTTAGTTCACTTAGCTGTCCGGCAATGAGGCTGCAAGGGAGGGGTTACCAGCACAATCACCTTGCTTAGTTGGAGACTTTATTATGGCCTCAGGTGGAGAAGTTGTTTTCTTGCAAGGTCCGAAGGCTTAATGGATTTGTCAGCAGACAAAGGAGAGGCACCAGACTTCTACCCAGAAGTGAAGGACAAGGCAAAAGGCTGGCAACCCTTTCCCCCTCCTTCACCCCTGTTGTCCAGAAGGAGCAACAACGCCAGAAGGAAAGATAGACCGATCAGCCGAAGAGCCACTCCAACGAGAAGCATGGGCGGGTAGTCAATTTTTATTGAAATGGCTCCTCGATCAATCGGTTGATAATTAACAGGGCTTGACAAGAGCCCCTCAACATAGGGCCAGGGCAGTTCTCTTCTGAGGGACCCCTATGTAGACCCAGCCCTCCGGTTCCCCGCCACTTACTGAACCTAGAAGACTGGGTCCACACAAGGACCCAGCACAATTTGTTAGTGCCTGGCCATGATGTAATTTATTAAACGACTGAACATTTGAGCTAGGGCCAGCAGGGCACTGTCGGTAGCTGCATTGGGTGCTCTGGTGAAAAATTTTTATGAGGGCTGAATTTGGTCTTTTGATTGGGAGTGGCCTTCAATGGGCATTTGGCCATACTGGATCTGTGAAGCGGCACATATACCGGATCTGTGAAGCGGCACATAGCTCTTTTATAATCAGTTCAGATATGTCAGATTGTGATACAAAATTCTTAAGCAAAAGCCTTACAACAGCCCCCGCATGACACATTCTACCAAAGAAAAACTGTTGCAAAACCTCCGCCCAAGATCCTGCATTTGCCCTTTTTACAAGAAAACACATACTTACAATTATAACATTTAAACATTTGAATAGAATTAATTCAAATATTTAGAAAGAGTTCCCAAAGAGGGAAACGTGCTGCCTGCCCAATTATTACGTCGCTGACAGTAGTGCTGGGCCACAGAGGAAAAGTTTTACTTAACTGCAGCAATTAACGGTGCACAGTCAGCCGGTGATGCACACGAACTGCCCTGCTCCTGGAGAGTTTTTGCCTGAGCTTATTTTAAGCCACGAGGACACATTTTCAGCCTCATAACTATATACATGAAATTATGACCCATAACATTACTGTAACAATTACTATAACATCACTATAACAACCATGCTCAGTATATCATGAGCCTTCCGAAGACACCCGACATGACAAACTTTGCATTGGATACCACACAATCACTTTATAAGGATGAACATGGGGGTGTTGGGTGTTCCCACGAGGTACCGAACATCACAACGCTGTCTTGGATTTGCTTCCCCAGCATTGTGTGAAGGCTGAAACCTTCTGAGCCATGGCAAGACGACCTAGAGAGGGGCCAAAACTGATTGATTTGTGAGAGTTTCCAGTGCTGGTGCAGAGGGAGAGATGGGGCATGCACAGCGTGTGTGGCATGACTGTGGAGCTGGTGGGGAGTTTGTGGCGACAGTGGAGAGGGAGAAATGGGGCATGTGCAGCATGTGACGTACAGCAGCATGGAACTGGAGGGGAGTTTGCGGTGCTGGTGCAGAGGGAGAGATGGGGCATGACTGTGTGGAGTTGGCCTGGTGAGGGCTTAAGAGCAGGCTGCAGGAAGCCGGGCTGGAGCTGGAAAGGCAGTGCAGGGAAGATATTTTAAGGTGGGAATAGTCCTGGGGGGAGAAGGCAGCACATAGTAGCGTATCCTGGGATGGCCTGTGGGTTGCAGCGCAGCTGTTTGTAATCCCATTCATCAGCGGGTTCAATACCATCCCCAGTGACATCAGCGCTGGGTTAAGGCAGGGAGAGACGTGATCCCTGAGATTTGAACATTGCCACGGGAAATGTACGATTCCAGGACAGGTGGGTGACTCAGTGGTCTGCACGGATTCTCTGGCGATGTGGATGGCCTGGCTGTCGCACGAGGACAGGTGAAGTGGCACAAAGGGGACTGGAGACTTCGCAGAAGTGGCAAGAAAAAGGCTTTTAGATCAATGATGGTAAAACCAAATGTCTGGCTGGAAGCAGACGATAAGCTCTTGGCCGAGTGTACCTAGCACTTAAGAACCATAGTTAACAAGTCATAGAATCATAGACTATCAGGGTTGGAAGGGACCTCAGGAGGTCATCTAGTCCAACCCCCTGCTCAAAGCAGGACCAATTCCCAGCTAAATCATCCCAGCCAGGGCTTTGTCAAGCCGGGCCTTAAAAACCTTTAAGGAAGGAGATTCCACCACTTGCCTAGGGAACCCATTCCAGTGCTTCACCACCTTCCTAGTGAAAAAGATTTTTCTAATATCCAACCTAAACCTCCCCCACTGCAACTTGAGACCATTACTCCTTGTTCTGTCATCTGCTACCACTGAGAACAGTCTAGATCCATCCTCTTTGGAAACTCCTTTCAGGTAGTTGAAAGCAGCTATCAAACCCCCCCCTCCCATTCTTCTCTTCTGCAGACTAAACAATCCCAGTTCCCTCAGCCTCTCCTCATAAGTCATGTGCTCCAGCCCCCTAATCATTTTTGTTGCCCTCCGCTGGACTCTTTCCAATTTTTCCACATCCTCCTTGTAGCGTGGGGCCCAAAACTGGACACAGTATTCCAGATGAGGCCTCACCAATGCTGAATAGAGGGAAGTGACCACATCCCTCAATCTGCTGGCAATGCCCCTACTTATACAGCCCAAAATGCCGTTAGCCTTCTTGGCAACAAGAGCACACTGTCGACTCATATCCAGCTTCTCGTCCACTGTGACCCCTAGGGCCTTTTCTGCAGAACTGCTGCCTAGCCATTCGGTCCCTAGTCTGTAGCAGTGCATGGGATTCTTCCGTCCTAAGTGCAGAACTCTGCACTTGTCCTTGTTGAACCTCATCAGGTTTCTTTTGGCTCAATCCTCTAACTTGTCTAGGTCCCTCTGTATCTGATCCCTACCCTCCAGTGTATCTACCACTCCTCTCAGTTTAGTGTCATCTGCAAACTTGCTGAGAGTGCAGTCCACACCATCCTCCAGATCATTAATGAAGATATTGAACAAAACCGGCCCCAGGATCGACCCTTTGGGCACTTCGCTTGATACCGGCTGCCAGCTAAACATGGAGCCATTGATCACTACCCGATGAGCCTAATGATCTATCCAGCTTTCTATCCAGCATATAGTCCATTCATTGAGCCCATACTTCTTTAACTTGCTTTCAAGAATACTATGCTCAAATAAATTTGTTAGTCTCTAAGGTGTCACAAGTACTCCTGTTCTTTTTGTGGGAGACTGTATCAAAAGCTTAGTTAAAGTGAAGGAATAACACATCCACTGCTTTCCCCTAATCCACATACCCAGTTATCTCATCATAGAAGGCAATTAGGTTAGTCAGGCATGACTTGCCCGTGGTGAATCCTTGCTGACTGTTCCTGATCACTTTCCTCTTCTTGAAGTGTTTCAGAATTGATTCCTTGAGGATCTGCTCCATGATTTTTCCAGGGACTGAGGTGATGCTGACTGGCCTTCCCTTGCCATGGGGTGTTGGTACCACTAAACAAAACACCTCCCTCCAGGGCAGGGGTGGGCAAACTATGGCCTGTGGGCCGGATCCAGCCAGTCAGGGCTTTGAATCCAGCCCACGGAATTGCCCCCCACAGCTCCTATTGGCCGGGAACAGGGAACCACGGCCAATGGGAGCTTCGGGGAAGGTACCCGTGGGCGAGGGCAGCGTGCGGAGCCCTCTGTCCTCCCCCCCCCCCCCGGGCCGCAGGGACGTGGTGCTGGCCACTTCCGGGAGCAGCACGGGCCAGGGCAGGCATGGGGCCTGCCTTAGCCCCACTGCCACCCTGGAGCCGCTCAAGGTAAGCAGCACCGGGCTGGAGCCTGCACCCCGAATCCCTCCTGCACCCCATACCCCAACCTTGTGCCCTGAGCCCCCTGCTGCACCCCATGCCACTCCTGCACCCCAACCTCCTGCCCTGAGCCCCCTCCCGCACAGCGCACCCCCACCTCCTGCCCCAGCCCTGCACGCAATTCCCTCACCCAGATGTGGCCCTTGGACCAAAAAGTTTGCCCACCCCTGCTCCCGGGGCTCGACTAGGCTCCTCCTTGGGCTGGGCCGTGAGCTCGGCAGCCCCTATGGGCGTGGGCACAGGACTCCTCCGACTTCTCCAGCTTTTCTCGGCTCCTCTCATCCCCAGGGCGGCCCTGCTGACGGGTCGGTACCAGACACGCTCCGGGGTTTACCCCGGTGTGTTCTATCCCGGCTCCCGGGGAGGCCTCCCGCTGTCCGAGCTCACCATCGCGGAAGTGCTGAAGGCTCGGGGCTACACCACGGCCATGGTCGGCAAATGGCACCTGGGACTGGGGGCCAACGGCTCCTTCCTGCCCATCCACCAGGGCTTTGACCACTTCCTGGGGGTGCCCTACTCCCACGACCAGGTGAGCCTCCGGTGTCCTGGGGCAGAGGCCTGGGGGGTGTCCCGGCCCTCTGGCAGGGCTTGGAGCATGTCGGGGGGGGGGGGACAGGAAGGGATCGGTACAGTGTCTGGGGGAGGTGCCCTGGGGCGATGGAGGCCGGGGGCTGGTTTGGGATGGTGCCTGAGGGAGCTGGGTCAGAAGGCTGATGGTGGCTGGGAGGGGATCCAGGCTGGGCCAGGGGGCAAGGGGGGGTGAATGAGGTGGTGGGGGCGTAGCTGGGCTGACAGGAGGCTGGGGCATGCTGGGTCTGGATCTCTCTGGAGTGGGGGCTGGGTGAGGCAGGCTGCGTCTGTGTCTGGGGGGTGCAGGTGAATGGGGGGCTGGGTGGGTCAGTGGCTGGACGGGGCATGGGCTGCATTGATATGGGGCTGGGAGGGGCACACTGGGTCAGTTTCTTGGGGCATGTGCTGAGTGAATGGGGGTTGGGAGGGATGGCTGGCTCAGTGTCTGGGGGGCAGGTGGGGCAGGCTGGGCTCCCCCTTTCCTGGTGGAGTCAATGTATACCAATAACCCAGAAGTGTTTACATTTCTGGGATTGGGGGTGGGGTGGGGGGGAAGATGCCTGACCACTCCCTGGCATGCTGCACAAAGGGAATAATGGGGCCTCGTCCCTGTGAGGTGTGGGGGGTGCTGCTGCCTGGGCTGGGGGGGGGATCTAGTCCTTGGGTCGCTGGAGTAGGGTTGAGTTGTGGGGTGCTGTGGGGAAGGGGTTGCTGTAGGGTGGGATGAAGTCTGGGCCCCTGGGGGAGCACTGGGTTTGAAGTGCTGTGGGGAAGCGATTGCTGTAGGGCACAATGAGGTCCGGGCCCCTGGGGAAGGGTTGGGTGTGGGGTGCTGTAGGGTGGGATGGGGTCCAGGCCCTGGGGAAGGGTTGGGTGTGGGGTGCTGTGGGGAAGGGGTTGCTTTAGGGCGGGATAGGGTCTGGGTCCCTGGGGGAGCACTGAGTGTGGGGTGCTGTGGGGAAGGGGTTGCTGTAGGGCGGGATGAGGTCCTGGCACCTGGGGAAGGGTTTGGTGTGAGGAAGAGGGGAATCCAGGTTGCTGTGGGGTGGGGTGGGATGGGGTCCGGGCCCCTGGAGAAGGGTTGGGTGTGGGCTGCTGTGGGGAAGGGGTTTCTGTAGGGCGGGATGAGGTCCTGGCACCTGGGGAAGGGTTTGGTGTGGGGAAGAGGGGAATCCAGGTTGCTGTGGGGTGGGATGGAGTCCGGGCCCCTGGGGAAGAGTTGGATTTGGGGTGCTGTGGGGAAGGGGTTGCTGTGGGGTGGGATGGGGTCCTGGCCCCTGGGGGAGACGTGAGGCGTGCCAATCTCCAGAGTGATTTTGGGGGTGCGAACTGGTCATTGGGTGGGAGTGGAGCCCCGTCCTTGGGGCACTGGGCTGTGGCCTGGTCCTGGGGCGCGGGAAGGGAAGGAGCCTGCGTCTCGGGTTGGCGCTCAGGTGGGGAGCTGGTACCCTGCTGGCCACCAGGCGCGGATGCAGAGCAGAGCGTTCTCTCCTCTCGCTCCAGGGCCCCTGCCAGAATCTCACCTGCTTCCCCCCCCACACCAAGTGCTTTGGGACGTGTGACCAGGGCGTGGTGCCCGTCCCACTGCTCCTAAACCAGAGCATCCTGCAGCAGCCGCTCGCCTTCCCCCAGCTGGTGCCGCTCTACAACAAGTTCTCTCGCGACTTCATTGCCGACTGCGCCCGCCAGGGCCGCCCCTTCCTGCTCTACTACGCCTCCCATGTAGGTGCCGGGGCAGGTGGCCTGGGGTGGGCATGGGCACCTGGGGGTTGGCCAGGATAGAGGGTAGGTGCGGGCACCTAGATGTGCTGGGGGGGCGGGGCTGGGCATGGCCTGGGGCGGTGGTGAGTAGGCCTAGAGGTACCAGGGGGCAGGGCAAGGGGGCACCTGTACCCCCCCTTCCTGCAGCACAGAGCATTGGCCATGATGAATGGCCCCCGCTCGGTCCCCAGAGGAAAGGAAAAGCCCCCAGAGCTTCCTCCCTGGCCTGGCAGCCCCTGGCTCTGCAGGGAGAGGTGGCTGGTCCCAGCTCTGCAGTCTGCTGCAGGGGTCCCCTCTCACTGGCTGCTCTTTGCCCAGCACACCCACTACCCCCAGTTTGGAAGCCAGGAGTACGTGGGCCAGTCGCTGCGGGGGCCCTTTGGGGACGCCCTCATGGAGTTTGACGGCTCAGTGGGGCTCCTGCTTCAGGCACTACAGGAGAATGGCCTGGAGGGGAACACGCTGGTCTTCTTCACCGCGGACAATGGGTGAGTGTGAGCGAGCTGGGGAGCCCCCTTCCACCTGCCCAGGGATGGGAAGGTGTGGGCTGAGCACGGGGTCAGGCGTGGGAGTGGGACTCTCAGGGATATGGGAGTGCTGGGGGGGGGTTGGGGGTGAGGCAGGGGGATTTGGGAGGTGCTGGGGAGGTTGGGGGTAGGTGGGGATGGAGCAAGGAGATTTTGGGGGTGTTCAGGGCGGATGGGGCAGGGGGATTTGGGGTGCTTGAGGACTGAGGTTTCAGGGGGTGCTGCAGAGGTTGGGGGCAGGTGGGGATGGGGCCCAGGGATATGGGGTGCTTGGGGCAGGGGCTGACAGGGACCCTCAGGGTGGGGGACATTTGGAATGACATGTAAGTTATGGAGTTGATCTGATTTCAAGTTGTCAGGCTGCTCAGAGTGCTCCCCCCTCCCTCTAGCCTGCCCCACCCCCACCCTCCCTGCGTGTTTTCGGGGCAGTGCGGGGGGGGGTCCCACTCACACCCCCACTTCCCAGGGGAGCCCCACTCACACCCCCACTTCCCAGGGGAGGAACATCCCCAGCCCGGTGCTGGAACATGAACGTCTCTCCAGGCTCCCTCTGGACATCCACTGTCCCGTCCTGCCTGCGCTCCTCGGCCCGAGCCGCCTGTGGGGCCCGAGAGCCAAGGGCCTGCGCCAGCCCGGCGGTGCCCTGCCCTATGGACACCCTGTGGGGCTGTGGCGCCCGCAGGGAGCTGGCTGGGAAGGGGCAGCGTGGCCCCTGCCGGGTCTGTGCCAGCGCTCTGGGGCAGGGCAGTGTTAACCTGTGTCTTGCTGATGGGCGCTCTCCCCTCCCCGCAGCCCCGAGACCATGCGAATGGCCCGTGGGGGCAGCTCGGGTCTCCTGAAGTGTGGCAAGGGAACGACATACGAGGGCGGGATGCGGGAACCTGCGGTGGCTTATTGGCCAGGCCGGATCTCCCCGGGTAAGCCTGGCGTTGCTCCCAGCTGCTCTGCGGTGCCTGGCGGGGCTGGCGCACGGCAGCAGGACCTGGGCCTACCTCTGCCCGGACGCCCATCAGTCTCCGCACAGCCTGGGAGGCGCCTGTGATGGACAGGCTGAAACTACAGATTTGGGGGGCTGTGCAGGCCCCAGTGGGACCGGCTCACCCCACACTCCTGCTTGGTGGGCGGGGGAGATGACTAGGGAGTGTGCGGGGCTGGCAGGGCAGAGGATCCAAAGGCCTCAGCCCTGTGGAGGGGGAGGGGAACAACGCATGTCTATGGCTGGGTGGTGTCCGTAGGCCTGGCACCCCAAATTCTGGGCAGAGGAGGCTGTCGCCCCAGGCCCTCTCAGCCCCTCTGCTCTAGGGGCATTGGGTGAGGGATGAATCCCCCTGTCCCGGGAGGTTGGGGGGCCCTCCTGGGTGAGGGAGGGGCTCTGGGGGAGGCGGTTGGACAGTGGGGAGGAGGGTGCCAGCGGGCTCGTGGGATATCGCTGGTGTGAGGCTGGACTGACGGCACCTGAGCCTTTTTCCTTGTGCCTGTGGCCGGGCGCCAGGCGTGACCCACGAGATGGCCAGCACCCTGGACATCCTGCCAACCCTGGCTGCGCTGGCTGGGGCGCCTCTCCCCACTGTCCCATTGGACGGCTATGATCTGAGCCCGGTGCTGTTTGGAGGTGGGAAGGTGAGTGCCCTGGGCCAGTGCTGCCGCGGTCATGCTGCGAGTGTGGGGGTTGATGTGGGGGCGGGGGGCACCAGTGTCTGACGGGCTGCCCTTGCCAGTGGGTGCTCCGCACACTGCTGGGGAGAGGGGCAGGCCGGGGTGTCCGTGACTCAGGGGCCATCTTCACTGCAATAACAAATGCAGCACCGAATCAGCCCTGGTCAACTGGCACGGGCTCCTGGGGCTTGGGCTGCGGAGCTCTGAAACTGCAGTGTCGACATTCAGCCTTGGGCTAGAGCCCGGGCTCTGAGACCCCATCCCGTCTCCTTCCTGCATGGCCATTGGCCCGGCACCTGGCCTGTCCCAGCCATGGCTCACTGCCACCCCATCCTGTCTCCTTCCCTGTCCATGGCCACTGGCCCGGCACCTGGCCTGTCCCAGCCATGGCTCCCTGCCACCCCGGCCTGTCTCCTTCCCTGTCCATGGCCACTGGCCCGGCACCTGGCCTGTCCCAGCCATGGCTCCCTGCCACCCCGTCCTGTCTCCTTCCCTGTCTATGGCCACTGGCCCGGCTCCTATCCTGTCCCGGCTCCTTCCTGCATGGCCACTGGCCCGGCCATGGCTTAGTCACTGCCCTTCCCTCCCCATACATGACTCAGCCACTGCCCCGCATGACACTGCCTCTGGTTGCTACACAGAGTCCCCGGCAGATGATGTTCTATTACCCGCCCAGCCCCAGCAAGCTGCTTGGCGTCTTTGCCGTCAGATACGGGAAGTACAAGGCTCATTTCTTCACACAAGGTACCCACCTCCATGGGGGTGGAATGGGCAGCCCCCGCTCCCTGCGTCCTTTTCAGGGCTCTGGTTGTGGTTCCAGCCCAGCCCTGGGGACCCTGGCTGAGGGAAGGTGGCTTCAGCTGCTGTTTGTATTTGTCTCCCAGGTGCCTTCCTCAGTGGGACGACCCCTGACCAGGACTGCCATGGGCCCCTGACGCCCCACGAGCCTCCACTGCTCTTTGACCTGGAGGCTGACCCTGCAGAGAACTATAACCTGCTGCAGGGCGGTGCCGTGGGGCCGGAGGTGCTGCGGGTGGTGAAGGAGATCCAGCTGCACAAGGCGCTCTTCGACCAGCGCATGGAGTTTGGGGAAAGTCAGATAGGGAAGGGCATCGACTCTGCCCTCCAGCCCTGCTGTGCCCCTGGCTGCACCCCCAAGCCCTCCTGTTGCCACTGCTCCTAACCTCCCCAGCCCTTTAACTCTCCCCTTGCCACTGCCAGGAACCCCCCGCTCTTCGAAAGCCTCCTGCTGCTGTGCCCATCTCTCTGCTGCCACTCTCTAAAGTCCCCACGCCAGCCTCCCCGCTGCTTTCCCCAAACCTGCCTGCAGCCGGGCGCGCTGCGTTGGGGTGCTTCCCTGGCCGGTAGAGCTGCCTCCCGCTCCCCAGGCCTGACGCTGAGGTCCCTACGTGCTGGCTGCATGGGGGCGTGGGGTGAGATGCTAGGAGGGGAAGGGGCAGGTTCCTGGGGTGGGGTTACCTCTGCACTGGGAGTCTTTGGCCATTTGACACAAACCTTCGCTCCCCTGGGACGCACTGAGTACAGTGAGCCCTCTGGAGTCCCGGGGGCTCTGGAACAAAGCAAAGGACCCACCCTCAGAGTCTAGCACCCCAATGCAGCCAGTGGGGGGCCCGGCGGTACCAGCCTGCTGCAGCGGGAAGGCCACGGAGCGGAGCGTGGCTAGCTCTGAGGGGCTGGCACAGCAGTGAGGGCCAAGGCCCTATCAATACTGGCGCAGAGGTGGAGTGCGAGGCCAGGATCAGGGCCAGCAGCAGTAGCCGCGGTGCTTGGCCCTGAGCACGTGGACGGGGGACCAACGGGGGCTCTGCAGTCAGGAGAGGAGCTGTGCAGAGCTCTGGGGCAGGTCCATTAACCTGCGTGGATGCAGCCAGCTGTCGCTGTGGGACACGACTTGTGCTTGTTTAAAGGGTGAAATAAGGAGAAATGAGTCCATGGAGTGGCTGCCCTCCAGGCTCAGCTGGTATTTGCAGTCTGTGGGCAGCTGTGACCCGGCTGTGTGCACCGGCGGGCCAAGGAGCCAGGGTTCCCCCCTAGAGCTGATGCAGAGAAGGCCTAGTCCTGAGCCCTCTCGGCAGAGCTCCTGCCCGGGGAGTGAGAGCCGTGAGATGAGCAATGTAGGCCCAGCCAAGGAGGGCCTAGGGCAGCTGCTTGGGATACCCAGGGGAGGAGGTAACTGCTGGCATCCTGCAGAGAAAGGCCAAGTACGAGCTATGACGCTGACATGCCCAGACAGGCATGTTACCCCTCTGGCTTTACCAGCTTCTCAGTGCTTTACCGGAGGGAGGGGCGGGGGTTCATGTGTGGTCACTGCTGAGCTAAGCGGGATTGTCATGGGTCTTGCAGGATGTTTGTACGGGAAATATTCTGAGATGTAAAGTGTCAAATATTGTGTTCCTCAACCACTGGCGCAGAAGCACATCGCCTGTGGTGGGATGGGTCTTGGCACACAAGAGTGAGACCAATCAATGCTTTCCGACCCAGCTCAGACCTGTGTTTACAGTCTGGACCGGATCCAGGCCGCAGCATTGGCAAAGACAAAAGAACCCTGTAATGGGGTTGGGGACTCACCACCGTGGCGCCTCCTACTGGTTACTCCAGGAATTAGCTCAGTCCAGTGGAGCGTCCCCTCTCGGTGGTATCCCGCCCGTTGTCTTGCCCTTGGTTGGCTTTTGAGCCCACGTTGCTCACCAACTCACGGCATCCTCTTCAGGATCACTGCCCTCTGGCAGTGCCCCATAGTCCATCCACACCCCCTTCCGGGGGGTATCAATCAGCAGTCTCTACACCCCACCACCGTGGTCAACCACACACCCCAAAGTCTAATCCCTCATCAGGGATCTGGCATGGTCTAGAATGGCCACTCCCTACAGCCAATGGCTGGGTGTACTGGAAGGGGGAGACCCAGGCCCGCCCTCTACTCTGGGTCCCAACCCAGGGACCCTCTGGCAGCAGCCTCGCTGTCCTCCACCTCCTCTCCCCTCCATCTGCCCGCTTCCCCTATGGCCCCTTGCACCAGCTAGGCCCTTCCCCTCAGGGCCTGCAGCCTGGCAGACACCGGGCTGGAGTTCCTTTCTGCTCCCCCAGGCCTGACCAGCCCTGCGCTGCCCACAGTGCTAGTCTCCCACCTCTGGAGACAGCCCTTCCCCTCACAAAGCCCTGGGACACACTGAGTGTGCGCTCCCTGAGCAGCCTTTTATAGGACTGAGCCTGGCCCTGATTGGCTCCCAATAAGCCCTTCCCTGATTGGCTACCTATCTGTGCAGGCCCACTGGCCTGCTGCAGCCTAAATTCACACAGAGTGGGGCAGTCTGGGGATGTATCAGAGAAGAAGAAAGGGCACAAGATGTTATCAATTACGGAGGGCTCTTTGCTAGGGGAGCGTCCCCTGAAAAGTGGGTCCCCGCTCTCTGGACTGGACAAGCACTGGACACACTGACCACTGGATGACAAATGCCTTCTTAGACAGGAAAGGGGCTTGTTAACAAGTATAGGCTCTAGATTACATTTTATGTTTTTCTTTTACCTGTAACCTCGTGTTTCCAAACCCTTTTCCTTGCTTTTATTTGAATCTGTAACTGGAGCTCTGTTAAATAAACTGAAAGCTGGTTTTACTGTAGACACGTCCAGGTGCCTTGTGTTGAACTGAAGCGATGCCAGTAAACTGGAGTGCGCTGCTGCCAGCGAACGGGTGTAAATTGTGCGTGTGCAGAAGATAAGGGACTGGGCACTTGCGTGTGACAAGGTGGGTGTGTAAATTGTAGCCCACAAAGGGAAAGAGTGGGGCTTGCAGTAGCCCATGTAGGCCTTGCTGGATCCCTAGCATAACTAACCGTGTGAATAAAGGCTGTGAACCAGAGCAGGCCTGGCCTGGGCAGAATAGCAACACACTACGTGGGATTCTTCTGTCATATGGCGATAGTGAACCAGTAAAAGCAACGGCATGATTACAGTTGGATTGTAAGGTCTCTTATCCTATCCAGAGCCGAGGGGGTAGCATGTGAATGGCTCTGATGCCTCCAGGATGAGCATAGATTGGACAGTCATCCATGATTTGTCCGACAGTTTGCACCACGCCACAGTTGCGGTTCGGCGATTCTCTCAATTCCATCTCTGGAGTAAGTATGCGTGTAGTGAGGTGGTGTGGCCTCCCTCCGACCCAGAGAGGAAGGGACGACTGAGCCACCACTACAATGCACATCTTCCATGTCGGGTGCGGACACGGTTTGGAGCTGGCCAGATGTGCCATGGGGAGCTGAAGCCTGGCACTTGCCCAGTTGGGTCATTGATTAGAGTTCGTTTGATGCGTTGCAGATTGGAAAAGAGACGGCGAAGGGGAGATATGATTGAGGTCTATAAAATCATGACTGGTGTAGAGAAAGTAGATAAGGAAGTCTTGTATTATGAGAAGTAGTAAACAACAACTAGGGCTCAAGCAAATGAAATTAATAGGCAGCAGGTTTAAAACAAATAAAAGGAAGTATTTCTTCACACAATGTACAGTTAACCTGTGGAACTCCTTGCCAGAGGATGTTGTGAAGGCCAAGACCATAACAGGGTTCATAAAAGAACTAGATTAATTCATGGAAGATAGTTTCATCAATGACTATTAGCCAGGATGGGCAGGGATGGTGTCCCTAGCCTCTGTTTGTCAGAAGCTGGGAATGGGCGATAGGGGATTGATCACTTGATGATTCCCTGTTCTGTTCATTCCCTCTGGGCCACTTGGCATTGGCCACTGTCAGTAGACAGGATACTGGGCTACATGGACCTTTGGTCTGACCCAGTATGACCGTTCTTATGTTGTGTTAGCTAACATCAAGTCAGCATGTTCCAGACTGGAGAGGGTGGTACAGAAACACACATCTGTCAGGTAGCTACATAAACAAATTCCCACAAGCTGGCACAGGAACGCACTGACCCCTTGTAAGATAAGGAGGGGATGGCAGGATAATGGGGAAGGGTGTCTTGTTTGAATTAGCAGGTACACGGAGAAGGGTGGTAACTCACAACATCTAGAGTGTGATTCGTGCCTTGTTTGTATCCATGTATAAAAGGAGAAGTCCTAGGAGGGGCAACTTTGTGCCAGCCTAGGGGACAGGATCCTGGTGTCCTGACTGACCCAGTGCCACTGGCATGAGCCTACATGTTAGTGTACCTGTAACCACCGAGCCGGGGCGCTAGGACCATGCTTTGTCAACAATAACCCTGGCCGAGGACCGTTGCCACCAAACCGAGCCTTTGGTCTTTCCTTATGACGATGTCGCGGTATGCTGAACGGGTGAGCTGCATTCCCTGCTAGTGCAGCTGGCACCAGCATTCCAGGAGCAGAAACAGGCCGCCGCGCTCACAGCCCAGCATAGAGAACTCTGCCCCTGGTAGCTTTGGGAGCACGTCCCTGGTGGGCACAGACAGAACTCCCTCATGCTGTAACGGGGGTTAGCGATTCACCCCGGACACCTTGGGGACCCCCCTCAATTGTCACACAGGCAGCCAGACCCTGGGCAAGTGAGAACAGAGGCCACTACTGTTGGGTGATGCCTGTGGGGTTTGGGTGTGTCTGTGCCTAGGCGTTGTGCTACGGGGATCAGTGCCCCGCGGGTACCTGAGCTGGATGGATGGGGATGTATACGGGGAGGGAGGGAGGGAATGGCTTTACCCCTATGACTCCTCCTGACGCACAACCTGCCCTAAACAGGCTCTGTCTGTCTGTGCTTGGACTGTGTCCTTGGGGCAGGGACAAGCCGTACTGGAGTGTTCAGAAAGTCCCTGGCACCTGGTGGGGGGTGTGACGAAGTGGGACTGTTCTTAATGTTTCCTCTGAATACTGTAGGGGTGCCTCAGTTTCCCCTATGCATTTCTTAAGTCTCTAGGTGGTGGGATAAGGGGGTGTAATTGTTGCAGAGCAAAGGGCCAGTGTGCATAAATGGTCAACACTCTGTCTCCTGGCAACTAAGGGCCAGGGCCCTTCCCCCCTGCAAAGTGATAGCTAAAGGTGTTGGAGAACAAAGGAATCAGGTGACCTCCTGGCCCGGGAAAGGGACAAAGCCCAGAGGAGGAGGGGCTGGAGAGGGAGTCAGTTTGGAGCTGGCTGGGGACGAGGGGTGAGTGCAGACATGGGTGTCTGGCTCACTGCCCCCCAAAATGGACCCGGCTGAGGGGTCCTGTTCTCTGTATATACAAGCGCTGTTTTAGATCGTGTTCCTGTCATCTAATAAACCTCTGTTTTACTGGCTGGCTAAGAGTCACGTCTGACTGCGAAGTGGGGGTGCAGGACCCTCTGGCTTCCCCAGGACCCCACCTGGGCGGACTCGCTGTGGGAAGTGCACGGAGGGGCAGGGGATGCTGAATGCTCAAGGTCAGACCCAGGAAGGTGGAAGCCGTGTGAACTTCTTGCCCTGAAGACAGTCTGCTCCATGGGAGAGGAGACTTCACCAGAATCCTGACTGGCTCCGTGGGGAGCAGTTCCAGAGCATCGCCCGGGGACCTAGTGACAGGGGGCTCCCATAAATAATGGTAAAAACATGGTGTTACTGAATCCGTTTCTTATCATTGCGGGAGGAGACTCCCAACCCCGAAATCCTTCCCACCCTTGGGTGCCCACGGCATCCTGCGGCCGCGTGTGTGTGAGAGAGAGGGACAGTCGGCTCCTTGGGCAGAGTCTGTCCCCCTGTGTTGGACAGAGCCCAGCACAGAGCTGGTGCGAAGCAAAGGACTATTAAAAGGCTCAAGGAAGGGCATGTTGGGATAGTTGGGCCTACAAATGTCCAAATGAAAAGGACCTGCCGATATGATTCAAGGACAGCTGAAATCATGCTTGGTATAAACAGACCCTGTGGAAGCCAGAAGTTAATGGACCGAAATCAGTGTGACAGATATTATGCCTAGTTGGTGGACAAAATAAGGTGGAGGACGAACTATGCAGCCACTTTCCCTCTTTTGGAGTTTATTTTAAAAAGGACATTGGAAAAAAACATTTTCATCTCTCATCCTATCTTGCATCCTAGCTCAGCTCAGCTCTGACCCTGAACTGGAGGGCACAGACCAGCCGGAAAGACTTTCTCCCAGGAGGATGGCTGCTGGCCTTGCTCTGGTTTAAGGAGCTGTATTTTCATTGTGCATGCTGAAAATCATCATGACATCCGCCCTCCGCCCATCAGTGGAGATACCCAGTTCACAGAAACGTAAATTCCTGGTTTGCCGCCCTTCCCTGTTGTGTTGCTTTCTACCCCACTGTTTCTTTCCTCTTATCTTCTCTCTCTCTCTCAGCTTTTGATCAAATTCTAAAAACCAACTGAAGTGCATTCACCCCAGTCCGCCCTGTCTGGGGAGAAAGACCCCAACCAGATGACCTCGCTGACTGGAAAGTGAACCCAGGTCGAAGCAATAGGAGCCGCGTTTGGCCTGCCAGCCAAAGCGTCTGTTTGTGTCTGACCAGCCAGCCAGTGTTCCAAAGACATCGACAAAAGTCGTAATTCCCTCACCGTTTCTATCCTCTCTCTCCTCCACCTTGTGGCTGGCTGCTAGAAACAGAAGTGAATTGCCTTCACACATCAGCATGGAAAGTAAAATTAATCCTTCCATTTCAACAAAGAAAGGGTGTTTTGAAAATAAGAGACTGATATTTTGCCTCCAAAAGGAGAGAGACTGTAAAGGTTTTAATTGTTTGCATAATCACTCAATTTCAATTTCAATTCAAAGGCTTGTTTTAATTTCTTGTTATTTCTTGTTTGATCAACACACGTTCAGCTTTGGAGTGAGTGCTTTTGGGCATTTGCCAAGAAACAAGTAAACCAACGTCTCTATAGAAAAAACCTCAGACCTCTTTGTATCACTGTTTTTATGCTGGACAGTGAAAGTGTTTATCCACCTTTAATGCCTCTGAGCCTTGGAATTAATACATCCGTCAGTAATAGGCTGAGCCTTGTCGGGAGACACAGCTGTGCTGGAAAGTGTTGGAGTAATTCAGGGCACACTTCTCGCAGCCTGGGCATACCCAAGACCTGCCTTACCTCCCCCACAGGCAGCGCCCCCTGCAGGAAACGGGACCCACTTGCCAAACACGTAATTTCCCTTGGGAGCTCTGCATGAGACAGCAAGAACTATTCTGCTGGGCTGGGCTATTGGCCTGTGAGTCTGTTGTTACAAGTGACTCCACACTCTTGGCCAGGCTGAGCAGTAGCATGTTTCACTGCCCCAAACCTTGGGGCTGGATCCACAAAGGGGACCGTCACCTGGGTAGTGCAACGCCTCACAGGTAGGTGTGGGGCTGCCTGGTGGGACTCACAGCCCCGGGTTAGGCATCCAATTCTGGGGGAGAATTAAGCACCTAGGAATAATACTCAGACACCAGCCCACTGAGCGGGGAGCTGCCCAAGCCAATCAGACCTGAAATGCTGGGAAGGGGGGTGGGGAGGCTTAGGTGCTTAGCTCACAGCTCTGTGACCCGCCAGGCAGGGGTTGAGGACGGAGGGTCAGCCCCACCCCTCGGTGCTCACAGGGGGTTATTGGACCCACAAGGTGCAACGCCTTCCCCCCACCCCCCAGGACTCCTGTGAGCAAAGGGGGCAAAATAACCAGGATGTGGGAAATTTCCATAGTCGCCTCCCTGCAGGAACC